GATTTACCTCGATGATATCATCGTTTTCAGCCGAACTTTTGAGGAGCACCTCCAGCGACTGAGGGCAGTGTTTCTCAGGATGCGTTCCGCGAAGCTTAAATTTAAACCGGCTAAATGTTTTCTGCTTCGGGAATCGGTCAGGTATTTGGGCCATATCGTTAGCCGTTCGGGGATCTCGACGGACCCTGCTAAGACGCAATGCGTCGGCTCATGGCCAACACCGACCTCTGTTACTGAAGTCCGCAGCTTCATAGGATTTGCCTCCTCTTACCGTCGTTTTGTCAAACAGTTTGCCACCATAGCCAGGCCCCTGCACGCCTTGACGGCTAAAGGGGTGCGGTTTCACTGGGGGCCGGAGGAGGAGGCCGCGTTCTGCTCCCTTCGTGACGCCTTGGTGCAGGCTCCCCCCTTGTGTTACCCCGATTTCACGCAACCGTTTGTGCTCGACACGGATGCCAGTAACACGGGTATCGGGGGAGTGCTCTCACAGGTGGTCGGGGGGGTCGAACGGGTGGTCGCCTACGGTAGCAGGGTTCTGTCCCCCGCGGAACAACGCTACTGCGTGACACGGCGTGAATTGCTGGCAATTGTGTTTTTTATACAGCAATTCAGGCCGTATCTGTATGGCCGTCACTTTACGGTTCGCACGGACCATGCGGCTCTCCAATACGCTATGCGGGTGGCGCAGCCATCCGGCCAATTGTCCCGATGGTTGGAGGTCCTTCAGGACTACCAATTCACGACGATTTACCGCAAGGGGTTGCGCCACTCGAATGCGGATGCATTGTCACGGTTGCCGACGCGTACGGAATGCGCATGTCAGTTAGGATCGGCGCGGTGTAAACCTTCTGTCGATGTCCCCGCGGAAGTGGTGCTAGCCGCCACGGATACTACGGGGGTCGACGCCCCCACGGGGAGGGACTCGCTGTTAGCATTGCCTCTCATCGAGTGGGGCCGTCTGCAAATGGCCGACAGCTCCCTACTCGCGCTACGTCGGAAGGTTAACGTTCCCAAGGGCGGGGAAACGCGGGTCGGTTCCTGGGTGTGCAGACAGGGCCTCTTGATGAAGTGGGACTCCATGTCCCGGCGTCACATGCTTGTGGTGCCGGTTGCTGTACGGGGTAAGGTCGTCCTGGCTGCCCATGAACGACTCATGCATCTGGGGTTTCACAAAACGCTCGCCCTCATTCAGCGAGACTACTATTGGCCTGGGATGGGCAATGACGTGGCGAACATTCTTAAGGGGTGTGTAGGGTGCGCTAAAAGGAAACCGCCACCAATAGCGGCTAATCCACCGCTTCAATCCATTCAAGTTTCGCGCACGAACGAATTGGTCGCGCTAGACATCTTGGGGCTCTTTCCCACTACACCTCGGGGAAATAAGTTCCTGCTGGTTGGCGTAGAGTACTTCACCCGCTGGCCCATGGCGTGGCCACTCGCCAACCAGTCGGCTGCGGCAGTGGCGGACGCCTTTGTCCAAGGTTACGTTTTGGACAAAGGCGCCCCTGAACGCTTGCTGACGGATCAAGGGAAAAACTTTTCGAGTGTTTTGTTGCGCGAGGTGTGCGACCTGTTGGGTACAAAGAAAGTACGTACCTCCCCGTACCACCCGCAGACTGACGGTATGGTTGAACGTCTGAACAGGACGATTACGTCTATGCTGTGCCAACAGGTATGCGACGACCAGGTGGATTGGGACTTACAGGTACCGGGGGTACTAGCGGCCTATCGGATGGCACCCCATGCGGCGACGGGGTTTTCTCCATTTTTTCTGATGTATGGGCGGGAGGCTGATCCGGCCATGGACGTCCAACTGGGGATTTCACAGCCACGTGCAAAATCTAAATTAGCAGGCCACATTAAGTTTAACATCGCCAAATTGGCTGAGGCGCGAGAGGCTGCGAGATTGAATTCACGCTCTCGGCAGATCGCGAACGAGCGATTGCATGAACGGAAGGTGCATACGCACAATTGGGAACCGGGCGATAAGGCCTGGCTGCATTGTCCACACGCACCGTTGGCTACGTCCCCCAAACTGTTGAGACCATGGAGGGGACCGGTGGAAATTGTGCGGGTTGCACGACCCCAGAGTATACAGATTAAATGGGGAAAACGCCGTTGGTACGTGCACCCCTCCCGACTGAAACCCTACGCGGCGCCGCGTGACCCCGGGTTGTGCCGTGACGACCGAGCGTGTGATGTGACCGTCGACTCGGGGAGGGATGTGTTGCAGGCTGATCCTCACGTGTCTCCACCTGACCCACCCCCAGGTGTCTCGGACCTGACGGCTGTTGACCGTCGGGAACCGGAACCCCGCGGCTCGCGCGGAGCCCCGATGCCTGGCCCATGCCTTCCTGAACTGCCGGCGCCGCCGGATGGCCAACTGCGTCCTGTGCCGTACGACGGTCCGGCAAGGCGGACTCGGGCAAGGACGCAACACTTTTCATGAAAAAAAAAAAGAAAAAAATGTTTTTTCTTTTTTTGTTAAAGCCCGACTTCGTTGCCGGCTTCCCCCTCTGCCGGGGTAATGTCCCGTTCAAGGGACGCTCGGACATTGGGACGCTGCATGAGTCGGAGAGAAAAGAAGAGAAAATGATTAAAGACATTTTTTTTATTGTTACTCTTTCTGCATACACAGTATCGTTGCCACTCGCCGGATTGTGCATGTTGTTCTTGTTGCGGGTGTGGCGGTTGCTGGGTTTTGCGGATTGCGGTGTTCATGTTGTGTTGTTAGGGTTTGTGTTATGTTACGGGGCACACGTGGGGGTGAAGGGGTGTTGTATGTTTTATTAGCAGCCGGGTCGGCTGCGAGCTATGTGGTAGGGGGTGATGTAGTGGTGGTATTGACGTGCGCCGGCAGTGATGGATCACGGGGCGCGGGGTTGGGCACGCGATGTGGGCGTGGCATGGACGCGCGCGCCGGTGCTCACACAAGCTGGGAAAAGAGGATCGTAGCGAGTGCGCAGTGATTGGTCAGATAAGTGGGTGCTCTCAGCGACGTCCGCAGGAGGGGTATAAAGGGGGACGCGCGAGAGCACTCGTGGTCAGTGTTAACCAGTTGAAGACCGAAGACGGGGTGGAGGAGGTAGTGGCCCGAGACCCCTAGTCCTGCCGTCCTTGTGGGGACCGGGGCCCTGTGTGGCTCGGAGCCGAGACTGGGGGGACCGTAGTCCGACGCCCGTGTGGGTCGGGACGGTGGTACCCAGAGCCGAGACGGGCACCCCGGCTGGGTGTGTCCCGGAAGGCTACGGGGCGTAAGAGCCCGTGTCAGTACAGCTGAGTGGGTGTTGGTCACCCGTGTAGCTGAGTGGGTGTTAGTCACCCGTGTAGCTGAGTGGGTGTTGGTCACCCGTGTAGCTGAGTGGGTGTTGGTCACCCGTGTAGCTGAGTGGGTGTTAGTCACCCGGGTAGCTGAGTGGGTGTCCGTCACCCGTGTAGCTAAGTGGGTGTTGGTCACCCGTGTAACGAAGTAGGGTGTTAGTCATCCGTGTAACTACAAGTTGGTGAAAATAAAGAGTGTGCTACCCGTGAAGTCGTCTCCTGCCGAGTTACTACTTTACATAAGCATTGTACCAATATATGTTGTTCAGTTGCGTACAACTGTCGTTTATTTGGCATGCACGTTTATTTTGCAATTTTTTATATTACGGAACAATTCGTTGTATTGTGTGGGCTTTGCAGCCCGTGCCAATTTATTTACTCATATATTTCATTTGCTCATATATTTTCTCATATAATCATTTGCTCAAACATTTCCCGTCACGCCTTGCCAGGCTTCTCGTGTGAAGAAGACTTGTTTTCTTCGTGGCATCTCACCAAACCGCAAAATCCATTTTCCCACCACCACTTGCCCGAGAAATTGAATTTGAGCCAATACATAATTGAACAACTTAATCCATTCACACATAAAAAAAAAATCACGTAAAGAATGGGCACCACGCTCTATCCACATTGACACCCCAGGTCTCCCTCAGCAAAGGTATTCATCTATACAGCACCCCTCTCTGCCGCTTTTCCACTGGCACATCTGAGCTGAGCCAAAGCGGGGTCCTCACAGTGATAGTTGTCTTCCACTGGCTGTTCGCCACGTCGAGTTGGAACCACACCACGAAAATCCGGGTTTGGCTTCGGGCAACGGCAGGGAGGACAAATGACGGCGGGGCACAGACGATGCGTCCAGTCAGCCAGCATGTTGCGAGGAGACGGCGTCACCGCACGTAATCGACAGGCATCACACACTCGTTCCCTGCACGTGACGTCAATGGCATGGCTTGGCTCCATCGGTGGAAAAACCTGGGGCTTCCTGAGCCGCGCCAGGCATGGCCCCAGAGCTGATCGGTTGTACGGTGGAAAATAAGTATCATTGCCCCAGTGGCTTCTGACTGGTAGTCTAAATAAAAACCTCGAACTGATATTAAACTATTTTAAACACATTTTTTTACCAGGTAAGGCGCAATGAGCTATGTAGTTCTTTTTCAGAAGCGACCTGGCCACAAATGATGGCTCAACGAAGTGGCTTATCACGTGGAAATTTATAGCAGTAGACAAATACTCGAAACGTATGTTTCGAAATGTGGAGGGAAGAACTGGAGGACCCGGAGAAGAATCAATACGACCACGGTGAGAGAAACACGCAAACTACAAATATATAGCAGGCGTCAGGCTCGGGATCAAACCGACAACCTCCTGTTTACCAGGCGAGGTAGTTAACATCTCGCCACCATAGTGCCCTATGACATTAACCAACACGTATCTTTCGATTTAAAGCTTTCGTGACTGCAGGGATTCATCTTCTTGGTTCTTTCGGTAAAGTCACGTAGAATGGAAATAATAAAATAATAAAAAATTAAATATAATCAAATAATTCTCACGACGTTTCGGCCACAACGCAAGCAGCCGTCTTACAGAGTCTACTCGAAAGACCTGCTCTCCACCTGAGGACGGCTGCTTGCGTTGTGGCCGTAACGTCGTGAGAATTATTTTATTATGTTTTATTTGTATTATCTTACTATTTCCATTCTACGTGACTTTACCGAAAGAACCAAGAAGACAACACATATCTCTTTTCCTGGTCCCTAAGCATCTTGAGACGTAGTCACATTAAGTCACTTGATAAATAAAATTCGTATGACAGTACACTGTGTGCTTGCCAAAGCCTTATTTGAGACTGGGCACATTTCCTTGGGGCAAAACTGTTACTATGCCATGAACGTTAAATTAATTACGATGATGATGATGATTATGATGAGAGCATTAAACTTCAGGGTAATCTATGGTGTGTGATTAATTGTCCCCACCAACATTGCAATAACAGCATATTAGTCACACTTGAATCACTCCAAAATGTTCAACGCCTATACTGTTTGAGCAAAAAGCTAAACCATAGAACGCCTAAGAAAACTCAAATAAACTGACATGTACAATCATTAGCCACGCACGGGTCATGTATAAGCTCTGTTGTGTAAATTCTATTCGTCCTCGTGCAAGTATTATTTTCATTTTTGTTTTGGCTGCGTGTAAAGCGATGGTATTGAATGCCCTCTTGTACTTCTGGTCACATGCTTCTGAGGTAACTCCTGTAAGACACAAAGAATATATTTAGATTGTTTCACGTAACATAATCAGAATCTTTACATAACATCCACGTGTCAGAACAAGCTCCCTGGTTTTACTGCATTATTTGACGAATGGCAGTTGACATCGTGTGGGGAGACCGTGAAATGTGATTTTTCTGAGTTAAAGATAACTGTGGTATCCATAATACAGGTCTTTTTGGGGGGTTAGATCGCGTAAATATATAAATGTGTCGTTTAACCCGCCACCACCCGACACAGCCAACTACCCCCCCCCCCAAACCCCCCCCCCCCTCTGTTATGGATAAACTAACTGTGGTATCGATGCTTTATAGTCAACAGCAAATCAGCAAGCCACAAAATGACTGACTGAAAACAACTTAAATTATCCAACTTGGACCCCTCATATCGTAAAGTGAGCCTGATTCTATTGATGAGGCAAATGTGTGTCGAAACCGTTTCAGGTTTTGCCTGTCTTGATTAAATGCTGCCAAAATGATGCAACTGGCAGAAGGTCGTGCAGCCGATGGTTTGTGGAATAAATATGTTTTATGTGTAAAGATGGATACGTGAAGGAGACATCTTGTTTATTTATTTTGTTATTTCATCACACGGTGGGTTGAGGCACTTGTAAATAAAGACACTTGCCCATTGTTGCATAGCATAGGGCATAAATTGAAGTGACGTGTTTAGGATTGTTGATTCATTGCTGCAGTCTGAACACCATGGTGATAAAAAATGAACCCGGAAAGTAATTCATCCAGTTCTTAATGCAGCCAGCATCCTTGTGTCATCTGCACTGACATCATTATCCTTTAAAAAAAAACGACCTAAACCACAAAAATAAATCATTTGAATGCAGCTGTAAAATCAATTCAACAAATGATTCGGTGATGCTGCTGCATTGGCCGCGTTGCTCAAACGCTTTAACAAAATAACTCGACACATTCGTCAATAACACTGTCTTAAAAAGACAAAGTCTGTACATTCTAGAGTCTAGACAACAGCCCCGCAGTGATGGACAGGCCACTCCACCTCTGTGACAAATGTGTTAGGTTTTGTTATTGTAATAATCTATTGAAACCTTTAATACAAAATATATTTACTTACCTCAAAGTCTGATTGGGCAACACCATTGATGGTTTTGTAAATATGGTCATTGAAGTGGAGATATTCAAGATGCAGCTCGAAGTAATTTAACCATTCAAAACCTTTCGTCCAATGGCTTGAATTCTGACTGTGTGATATCAATCAGTATGGAAGTACATCAAGTAGGTTGTTGGCCATGTGTGTGAAGTTTTAGTGATCTCTCCAAACATGTGACTTCTCCTGGCACTCTGATTCCCTCTCAGCGAGGTGAACTTGGGTTACTCAAACACACTTCACCATATCACTATTTGGACCAAACCACAGGAAGAAAAAAAACACCCACAGGATGAGGGAACACTCAAAGTCCATATGGATGGGTCAATACCCTACTTCATGTACTGTATCCTGTAGGCCAGGGGTGGGGAACGTCCGGCCCGCGGGCCGTTTAAGGCCCGCAAAATTATTTGGTGTGGCCCTGCCAAGGCAACCGCAGGCGGAGCTCGAAATTCCAAAAATCTCGGAGCAAACCTGGAAAAGCAGTTGCGAGTAGCAACATCATCAATACCAGCTAACATCACACGCCTCGCCAAAGAGAAGCAGTTCCAGCCATCACATTAGGGGTGAGTTAATTAAATGTTTGACCAAATATAACAGGCAAATTTTTAAGTTGATAATTTTGCATGGCCCGCGAATGATGTTATAAATATCCAAATGGCCCTTGGCAGAAAAAAGATTCCCCGCCCGTGCTGTAGGCAGTACAGCCCAAGCCACAGATGTTTAACGGCCTTTATGTGATAATCTCTCTTTGACCCACCAATCCCAGCTCCAAGAGACTGGATTACAATCAGGCACCACCGCACACACCCAGACAACAGCATTTAATAAACAGTGAACAAACACAGATGGATAAAGTTAGATCGCCGAAGCTAAATAGGATTGAGCCTGGATAATGCTTGTATAGATCATCGAATTGTGCAAAGGACAGGCGGAGTCGGCATTATTACACTTGTAACGTTACATGGAAGTCACGGTCGCGAGATGTTAACTACATCGCCTAGTAGACAGGAGGTCATGGGTTCAATCCCGACTCTGACGCCTGCTGTATATTTGGAGTTTGCACGTTCTTCCTGTGGTCGTGTAGATTTTTCTCCGGGCCATCCGGAGGTTTCCTCCACGTTTGGAAATGTGTGTGTTTCCACATGATGAGCACCTTCATTGAGCTATAATTTGTGGCCTCTAAAAACAGATATATATATAGCTCAATGGGCCTTACCTGGTAAAAAATAAATAGAAATAGGCATTGTGGACAGTCGAGGCCAGGACAAAACTCCTACTGAACAGCGTGGTGAAGTATGCGAAAATAACCCCCACAACAGACCGTGCATGGTTTGCCCTCATCCAGCAGTGGATTGCCAAAACGGGCTGTATATGCTCATGAGGGTGGCTTTTGGCTATCCATAAAACAAAGACAGTCACTGCATCGCGCGCTTTCAGGTGAACTTCTGCGGCCGTCTGGAACGCTCTTCCTTCCGATATGCGGAAGTCACTGGGGCAATTTTAAATCCGGATTGAAAGCTTATTTTTTTATAATTGCTTTTTGTGTTTCTTTTTTTGTCTTCCCTCTCACTTCCAAGTAGCACGGTTGGCAAACATATGGTGCGAAAGAAATTGAACTGACATCAAACGCAAGGCGCGAAATACAAGCATGTATCAGTCTATCGGGCTATAAACCAGCGCTTTACAAATACCAGAGTACATGGCAACTGCATAATTATTCGGTTACCTCCATTGGTAAATACGCGGCGTGGGAGTTGGATATAATAGGCAACTTGTGTTGGTTTACTTTGCCGTTCAAAGGGAATCTTTATTAAGTGCTGTGGAAAAGCAACCACCACAGTGTTATTCATGTCAAGCTGATCTCTGGAGTGGGTGGCGATGTTTGGCCCAAGTTTTGTTTCCTTAAGTTTGAAAGTCACATCACGTTTCACACTGTCGAACGAGAGTTGACGGAGGTCACTCTAGAATGGCGATTCGAGCAAAAACAATATCCATCCCCTTGAGAAAAGACACGAATGAACCATTAATGATCGCCAGCAATGCATATATTAGAATCCTTTGTCATTACAACTGATAAAATGAATCCACCCACTCGAAGCAATAGTGCGTATGACTGACTGAGTTCAAAGGCCAATTCATTTGTAGATTGGCTCGTCATTCTAGCTAATTATCTCGGGTTTTAATCGGCTCATAAAGTGCCGCATCTAATTCAAGAAAATACAACGCATTGGCTACCCAGAATAATAATTACAACTTGATTACATCTAACCTGTACTGCAATGCATCTTTTAACCCAGGCCAGTGGGAGGTTTTCAATGTTGCACGTTAGATCGATAATAACGCGTATCATAATGTCGACTTGTAACGCACACAGTGTTCGCTCACTCTCGCAGAGAGAGAGAGAGAAAACGACTCAGAGGTTCGAAGAACCACAGAAAAGTGGGAAAGACAACAGCCAATTGCCCACGCTCTACAGTCCTCTACATGTAAATATATTTTCGGCAAATTAATCATTGTTTATGCGTGGGAGGAAATTTCAGCACCCAGACAACAACAAAAAATACACGCGCGCTGGGGGTGACACTCGATTTCGCACAGACGTAACAAGTGGAGTCCGCATGTGTCTGTAGCGCCTTCTCTGGACGAACCAGGAAACGCCACCTCCTGAACGCCCAGAGGAAGGAAAGTTTCACAACGCTCGCCGCCTCCACTGTGCTGGGTTACAAGCGTGCGCCACCACTGCTCGACAATGTACATCGTACTCCCTAAAAACTTACAGAAAAAAAAGCAATACTAACCCAGAGAAAACAATTGACAATCAAGGTTACATTGCTTTTAAGGAAGCACAGTCATATGACGTCCCACCGTTGCGTTTGTGAAGTGAGTTTATTGGGTGATCGCTTTTTTACGACAAGATAACCCTCTTACTTTATGGCCAAAGATGATCACAGCAAATTGGCTTTAAGTACATCGCATTGATGCGTAAGCTCACAATGTGACTCGTAAGAGCGGCACAAGGCAGTTGCGTGAACGTGACACTGATCAGCACAGGTTTGGGCAAGTGGCGTGCCCAGGTGTCGTTTAGATGTAACATCCCACTGATATTAGCCGTGTATGAATGTATGTTGAACTTATTTCGCACAAAAGCAGTTATAAAGAAATGAGTTTTCAATTTAAATTTAAAAGTGCATAGCTCCAGTGGCTTCCTAATACCAGAACGAAGATCGTTCCAGATGGCTGCAGAAGCGCATCTGGAAGCATAATGCGGTAATCATCTTCGTTCAATGGCCAGCCAAAAGCCGCTGCTTCTAGGATGACCAGAGTTCATGTTAGATCAATAAGACAAAGCGTTCCCATTGCTAAATGACCACCCCTCCCGTGTGGCGCTTATCTTCACCCTGCAGTCCAGGACCAGTGGTGGGAGTTCCACATTTTAATAACTGTGCAGTAAAACCCAATGTTGGCCCCACGTTAGCCTAATGGGATGTCAACTTCCCACCGGGCGGTGCAGCCTCAACAGGCAGTGCTCATTTGACTGACCTCAAGAGGCGGTGATGATGATGATGATGGGACTGGGGTTCACGCTGGCCTGCAGGGTATGAACTCACGTTCATTTGATTCCGAGTTTTGCCAGCAGGCTAACCAATTTCAATATTCATAGGACACAAATTATTTGCAAATGAGTTGTGGACAATTGTGCTCTTTAATTAATTGAAAGTATCATCCTCTAAATCGCAAGCAATTCACCGTCTCCAACCTCAGCACCGTAAGAATTTTCCATTAAATTGTGGAGTACGCTCAAACAGAAACAACAATTTATACATAAATGGCTTCTTGTTCTGCTGTATGTGCACTGC